GCAGGAGATGAGGGCTGCTTTGTGCCACCAGCTGGCGCAAATATACTAAGGCGGAATGCTGATGCCGTGCAAGTTCAAGTAGTGCTTTGCTCCCGCACTTCTTTCGGCCCTTGTTGGTGCTCGCACACCTCGGTCTCTCAGGGAGATGCTTGACTTCTTCTCAGCCCCAAGACACTGGCTGGTCCATGAGATGAGAGAGAGAAAGAGAATCAGAGAGAGAGAGAATCAGAGAGAGAATGAAAGAGAGAATGAGAGAGAGAGAATCAGAATGAGACAGAGAGAGAAAGAGAAAGAGACAGAGAATGAAAGAGAGAAAGAGGGAGAATGAAAGAGGAAGAATGAGAGAGAGAGAAAGACAGAGAGAATCAGAGAGAGTGAGCGAGAGAATGAGAGACAGAATGAAAGAGAATCAGAGAGAGAATGAAAGAGAATCAGAACGAGAGAATCAGAATGAGAGAGAGAGAGACAGAGTGGAGGAGAGAGAGAGATGAGAGAGAAAGAGTGGGAGAGAGGGGAGGGAGAGGAGGGAGAGTGCCTGAAGGACCCCATCCCGTCACTGGGAGTCCAGGCGCTTCAGCAAGCGGTGCGCTGGATTCGTATTAGTGGTCCACAGGATTTAAAATTATGAACTTGGTAGTCCCTGAGGTCCAAAAGGTTGGGAACCCCTGGTTTATTGGATACATCATATAGGCACAAATTGGTGAGAGACAACTCTAAGATTTCCCATGGCTTTCATCTAATTAAAAGTGAAAGTTTTCCCTTTCCCCCCAAGTCACTGGTCCCTTTCCCCCCAAGTCACTGTCCAATCCAGGTGCTGGCTGGTTGCTGGGTTACTTACTCCTTCTCTGGCCAGCCACCTGTGAGAATGTCCTTGGTTCCCACAGGAAAACTTTGTTGTTTTGGCTACAAAACCCCATCTAACTATTTCCCCCTTCCCACTGCTGTGTGGCAATCCTGAAGCCTCCAAGATGGCTTCAGTTAGGTTCACTTCAGCCTTGACAACAGAATTACAGCGTCAAAACTTTTTACTGGCTGATGCAGTAACCTATTTACTTCGCTGTCCTTGGCCTCACTGTTTAATATCATTTTTTTGAAGTGGCAACTTGCCATCTGTCGGCGAAGCATCTGAGGTGGCCCGGGAGTTCATGGCTTCCATGACAGCCATGGGTCTGACCCAATTAATTCATGGACCCACTCACACGGGAGGACACACTCTGGACTTGATTTTTGTCTCTGGTCAGTGGATGAATGATCTTGAGATAGGGGAGATAGTGACTGAGCCCTTGTCATGGTCAGATCATTCCCTTCTTAGGCTTGACTTTCTAACCGCCACACCCTGCCGCAGGAAAGCAGAACAGACTAGGTGGTTCCACCCCAGGTGCCTGATGGATCCTGATAGGTTCCAGATGGAGCTTGGGCCATTTCATGAGGCTCTGACTCATGGCTCTGCTGAAGAGCTGGTGGCCACCTGGGACAGGGCGGCTGCTGGCACTTTAGACCGAGTTGTGCCTTTGCGGCCTCTGATCCGTCACCAAGTTTACCTGGCTCCTTGGTTCTCCGAGGAGCTGAGGGAGATGAAGCGCCAGAAAAGACGCCTGGAGAGCGGTTGGAGGACCAGCCGTTCCGAATCTGACCAAACACTGGTGAGGTCTCATATTAAGACCTACCTAGTGGCGATAAAAGTGGCAAAATGTAACTATTTTTCCGCTCTTATCGCATCTGCAGATAACCGTCCAGCCGCCCTGTTTAGGGTGACCCGTTCTCTTCTCCATCTGGGAGCGCGGGAGGATCCCTTGCAGGGTTGGGCTGAGGATTTTGTGTAGTATCTGCACGATAAAATCACTCAGATTCGGGAAGGCTTGGTCTCTGACTGGGTAGGTATAGGCGGGATGATGGAGGCAGGTCTTGAGAATGTCATTTGGGAGGAGTTTGACCCTGTGGCTCCCGAGGACGTGGACAGGATTCTGGGACGGCTGAACGCGACCACATGCTTATTGGACCCGTGTCCCTCCTAGTTGGTGCTGGCCTCCCGGGAGGTTACGCAAGGCTGGCTCCAGGGGATTATTAACGCTTCTCTGAGTGAGGGTGTCTTGCCTTCCGCCTTGAAAGAGGCGGTGGTGAGGCCCCTCCTCAAGAAGCCTTCCTTGGATCCGGCTGTTTTGGCTAATTACCGTCCAGTCTCCAACCTTTGCTTTGTGGTGAAGGTTGTTGAGAGTGTGGTGGTGCGACAACTTCCGTGGTACCTGGATGAAGCTGTCTATCTAGATCTGCTCCAGTCTGGCTTCAGGCCTGGGCACAGCACGGAAACGGCATTGGTCGCATTGGTGGATGATCTCTGGAGGGCTCGGGATAGGGGTTGTTCCTCTATCCTAGTCCTGTTAGATCTCTCAGCGGCTTTTGATACCATCGACCATGGTATCATGCTGCGCCGGTTGGAGGGGTTGGGAGTGGGGGGCACCGTCCTGCGGTGGTTCTCCTCCTATCTCTCCGACCGGTCGCAGTCGGTGTTGGCAGGGGGGCAGAGATCGACCCCGAGGCGCCTTGTTTGTGGGGTGCCTCAGGGGTCGGTCCTCTCGCCCCTTCTGTTCAACATTTATGTGAAGCCGCTGGGTGAGATCATCCGTGGCTTTGGGGTGGAGTTCCATCAGTACGCTGATGACACTCAGCTGTATATCTTCACCCCAGGCCATCCCAACGATGCCCTTGAAGTGATGTCCCGGTGCCTGGAGGCTGTGCGGGTCTGGATGGGGAGAAATAGGCTCCAACTCAACCCTTCCAAGACCGAGTGGCTGTGGCTTCTGGCGTCCTGATATAGCCAGCTGGTGCCATCGCTGGCTATTGGGGGCGAGTTACTGGCCACCATGGAGAGGGCTCGCAACTTGGGTGTTCTCCTGGATGCACAGCTGTCTTTAGAAGAGCATATGACGGCCATGGCCAGGAGGGCTTTTTATCAGGTTCGCCTGATTTGCCAGTTGCGTCCCTTTGTGGATCGGGACTCCTTACGCACGGTCACTCAGGCACTCGTCACTTCTCGCCTGGACTACTGTAATGCTCTCTATATGGGGCTCCCCTTGAGGAGTACCCGGAGGCTCCAACTGGTGCAGAATGCGGCCGCACGGGGGATTATGGGAGCGATGGGGTGCTCCCATGTGACACCTCTCCTGCGCAAGCTGCATTAGCTCCCGGTGGTCTTCCAGGTGCGCTTCAACATGTTGGTTACCACCTTTAAAGCGCTCCATGGCTTAGGGCCTGGGTACTTACGGGACCACCTTCTGCCACCGATAGCCTCCCACTGGCCAGTACGCTCCCACAAAGAGGGACTCCTCAGGGTGCCGTCGGCCAGGCAATGTCGGCTGGCGACCCCCAGGGGGAGGGCCTTCTCTGTGGCAGCACCTGTCCTTTAGAACAACCTGCCCCCGGAGATACGTAGGATCCCAGATCTCCGTGCTTTTCTCCGTGCCCTTAAAACTTTTTTATTTCATCAAGCTGGGCTGGCTTGACCCCCCCCCCTTAGATATTTTTAGATATTTTTAATTATAAATTGATTTTAGTTGGGGTGTTTTAAATTTTATATTGAGCCAAAACTTGTTTAATTCTTTTAAAATTAATCTTAAATTTTGCATGTGATGTTTTTATTCTTGGCTGTTCACCGCCCTGAGTCCAGTAGGAAAAGGACGGTATAAAAATCTAATAAATAATAAATAAATAAAAAATAAATAAAAACAGTATCCTAAGTGGGGTCCCACTTATTTATTGTAAGGTAATACAATATAGGTAGTTTTGTTTGACTTCTCCTGTCTAATGAACTATAGTATAATAGACTCCCTTTTCTTAATTGTCAATATATCTCTCTGAGTTAATCATTTTCAAATTCTCTTTCCCAGTCAGTCAACACAGGTCTCACATGTATATATGAAGCTTATATTAATTTGTCCTCATGTCTATCAATTTATGCTGACTCTATTTGCAAGTTGCTGTATTGCCCAGGATGGAGGTTTTACTGCCCCTTTTTATGTATCTTAGCAAATTTTATTTCTCTTTGCTCATCTCTTAATTTCAGAATTAAGATATTAATTTATGAATTAAATGAGAAATAAAGGACCTAATGCAGTTTCATGTCCAAACTTACTGGCTGCCCCCATTCATTGCAAACCCCACCCTATCAAACCCCAGACTCCCTAACTGCTCCTTTAGCTATTCATCAGTCCAGAAATTTTCTTTTTCTATTCCATAAGGGGTCAAGTTTGAGCAGAAATTTTTGAAGATTTTTTTTAAAAAATAGAAAATCTTTATAAACAGTTTAACAATCTACATTATTTCTGACATTCTCAAAAAACTCTTAACTGTTAATTACACAATTTACTGTTATAAAACCATGTTGATTTATGGTTCATCAAGAGTTATTTATAATGCTATCTTTAGTAATGTTTTCAGTCAGTCTTACCTGGAACAGATGTTGAATTAATTGATCTATAATTGTTGCATACCTTCTGGATCCCTCTTTAAAAATTGGTTGGCATTGGCTACTTTCCAGTATTCTAATACAAAATCTAATTTTGATTATTCATTACCAGTAATATTACATTGGAGTGCTTTAAAACCACCTTGGTTGCTATCAAGAGATGGTGATAGTCCTCCTCTCTTGTTACCAGTTTGCTTTCCTGAAATTATATGCTCAAACTTTAGTTTTCTAAGGTTAAGTGCGAACAGATAATTCATTTAGGTATTCCTGCAATTTCACTAGTGTCCTTTAGGGGGCACCTTTAAATGCTTATGGAGCATTTCTCTATGGAGAAATGGTCTAAATTGCTCAAAGGGATGTTTTCCTGCTTTAGATACTTCTTATTTAAGTAGATGAATAAATAATATATTCCTCCTTTACTTTTGGCTTGCATTTGGCATGTGCTTCTTTTTGTTTTCCTGAGAGGTAAACAGTTTTGAAGGAAAATTTGCTTTTAAAATTCTGCTTGTTAATCAGAAAAATATCATTTTCCACTTAGTACTGTTGGAAGAAATATCCATCTGGTTCAGTTCCAAGCTGGAAAGAGGACACTGGAAACATGGATGCTGATTGGAAAGACAGGTTTATTGATGAAGCAGAACCACCAACCACATGTGATTCTGGGCAGCTGACAAAATGAAGTTGAGAGTGGGTGGGTTTGTATATCTTCTTTGGGCTTTGTATTTGAGCTTCTTGTTCCTGTGCAAGAACATGTCCTTTAAGATTCTATTGGCTGTTGTCAATTTTCCTATGGGGTTATGTAGGGGTCATGCGTGGCTCTATAGGTGTCATGTCCCAGCATATAACTTTTATATACTCTAGCCCCATCTAGTGGCCAGAGGGACAAATATGCTCCAATATACAATCTTTATATACTGTTGTTGTGCTCTAGCCCCATCTAGTGGCTGGAGAAACAAAATACCAAGTATATTGTTTGAAACTGACCCAATCCATTTTACCCATCAGTCCACACTCTCAAACCAAGTGCATGCTGGGAAGTCAGACTCCATTTTCTTTAGCATTTGGAGAAGGCAGAAGCATAAAGAAGAATCCATCTTAATCTGTGGAACATGGTCATTCAAGGACAAACCCACATCCCACACACGGAGCATCATTGGTGAAATTTAAATTGCTTGTATTTATTAATTGTTATGCTCAGCAGTAACTTAATACTGTCCGTCTTGTATTTGATTCTCATTGTATGTTTCCCTATTTTCCCCAGTTTCACCATATCCTGTTATTTCAACTCAGATCTACGCAGATGGTCTGTTTTATTGGAGGATAGGTAGGTTTAGCTGCATGTTGTGCTGCACACAGACTAATATGTAATGGGGACAGAACAATAGGCAAAAGAGGAAATGCAAATCCTAGGTGTTTGTCTGAGCTAATCTGGTCAACCTCTGGCTTACTGTTTATCTGAGCTCCAAGGTTTCTGTGACTTTGAAGTTTGGACTGCTCTGGTGTGCAATGAAAGGGCTTGTGTTCTGAAAGGGTGTTGGGCAATTCCTATTGTGGCTAATGACTTTTCTCCTATGTTGAATCTTGGGAGAGGGGCTGCTTTCTAACCCTACCATTCTGCCAAAAAGTTTCAAAATATTCTGTCTTGAATGGATTATCAAATCTGCATTTCTAAAAGCTGGCCTCCACAGTTTCTGCTTGGGGGCAGGGAGACTGGGGCTGGTTTCTGTCTCCCTTAAGAGCATGTTTCTCCATTTGTCCCTTTGGGAAAATATAATATCCTGCCTTTTTTAATATTTCTCAAAGTATTTCATTCTTCGACCCCCCTGGCTGGGAAGCTGCATGGCCATGTTGGCTGGGAGAACGCTCTCCCTCCTGGCTGGGAAGCTGTACAAAAGTTTGTGGGCCTAAAAGAAAAGTTCAATCAATCAATTCCAACTTCTTGTGAAAGAAAAAGTTTTCACAAAGTTGGAATTGATTGAGTGAATTTTTTTTTGGTCTCACAAAGTTTTCTTTGCCTGAAATTCCTGAGAAATGCAACGGAGCTGGAAATCAGGTAGGCAAAGAAATCCTTGGGGAATTTGTTCTCCCAGCTAAGCACAGCCATGCAGCTTCCCAGTGCTGTGTTGGATGCAGCCACAGTGGAAAAGCAAGGCAGGCAAGCTGGAGCCTGGGGGGGGGCAGTACTGTGCTGTCCGGGAGGCAGGCTGCTGGCCCGCGCCATTTCCTGCTTGCCACACTGTCCAGGAGGCAAGCCACTGGCCCCTGCCATTTCCCACTGTTTCCCACTTGCCCACGCTGTCCGGGAGGCAGGCCACTGGTTTCCACCATTTCCCACCGTTTCCCACTTGCCTGCGTTCTCCAGGAGGCAGACTTCTGGCCCCTACCATTTCCTCCCAGTTCCCACTTGCACATGCTGTCTGGGAGGCAGGCTGCTGCCCCTCCCCCCCATTTCCCGCAGTTTCCTGCTTGCCTCTGAATGTCAGCTGAATGCTCTCCTCCCAGGCTCTTGAATGCTCTCCTCCCAGAAGTGCTGGGAATGGCTTCCCGGCACTTCTCCTTGTCGTGGAGCTCCTTGGCTTTTGAAATCTAGTGCCGCTTCTCCAGCTGCTGAGCCCAACCAGCTGATCCGAGAGTGCTGGATTTCAAAAGCTAAGGAACTAAGTGCTACAAGGAGAAGAAGTGCCAGGAAACCATCAGCAAGTATCACAGGGCGTTGCTGGATCTGAAGAGCTGTTGCTGGCCCTAGGACGCCACTTCAACTGCCTCCTCCGCAGGGGCTACCGGCCTGGCAAACTCTTACAACAGCCTGGCAAGTAGGGTGGTCACCTGGGTTTTGGCCCTAGGGTAGGTGGGAAAGGGAGGGGGGAATGGTGAGGGGGAAGGGAAGATTAATTTTTTTAATAGATTAGAAAATAATATGAGGGACTTTTGAGGAGAAAGCCCTGCACATTTGTGATGTTGGAATGGATTATATGCCAACTCCTAGTGACACTATACATTTTAAGTGTAGGAATTAAGCTCTTGGAAACTTTTGGAAGTATTCACTTGTGACTGAGAGCAAAAGGTATTAATGGTAGTATGTTAGAAGTACCTTAGAATTGAAAACAACTATTTTTGGCGACAATGCTTTATGAAAATAAAAATATTGGATCCTGTTTCCACACAGTTACTTTGTACTGTATTTTTCAATTATTTAAATAAGCTCATATGATAACCTTTCTTACAAACTGTTCATGTTGACTATTTTGATAGGCTCTCTGAATTTTCAAAAAGGGTCCTTTAAGAAGGGTGGATTTGCAGTATTAAAAAAGAAGACAGAGAATGGTGATTTAATGACTAATCTATATGCTCTATCTGAGCATATAGATCTGAGGCCTGCAGTCCTCATTTGTACCACCCAGAGGGCCAATGTAGGCCTGTACATACCTCATTAGTTGCTTGGCAATTTATCTACTCCATCTGTATTTATATATTCTTCAAAATGTGTTTAATTTTTTTAAAAAATGGCTGACTTGCCACAGAGCAAAACACCATCCTCCAGAAAAATCATTTATTTCTTTATTTATATTCCATCATTATTTTTATAAGTAATTCAAAGCAGCAAACATTCCAAATATCCCTCCTCCTCCTCCTATTTTCCCCACCACAGTCCTGTGAGGTAGGCTGGGCTGAGAGCGGGAATGACTGACCCAAAATCAGCCAGTCAGTTGTTAACTCACTGAGCCATTTCTGAACTTTCCTGCAATGTGAAAAAGAGAGCTATCTGCAGCCAGTGTTTTGTTTAGAAGTGCGTCCACCTGTCTGAAAAAGCAGAAAAATTATAAGCGTAGGACTGTGCTTTGCTATGGTGGACAAGGATGCATTTGTCTGCAATTCTTTAAACAAAATAGGGCTTTTTCTGGGGAAGAAAGGCAGCTGCATAATCCCAGGAAAAAGGAGTTTCCACAGAAGATCATGGAGAATAATAGAGCTAAGCATCTGTGGGAGTTCCAGATCCATAACAACAGGCAGGCATTAGATAATCAACAGGACACTGTAGTAGTAGACAAATTAATAGACAAAGACCAGAAGAGCTCAGGAGGCCAGGCAAGCGGGGTGAGGCAAGATGCCCCTTGACGTGAGTAATGTGGAGTTGGCCACGCCCACCCAGTCATATGACCACCAAGCCATGCCCACCCAGTCACATGATCACCAAGCCACACTCACCAAGTCATGTCCACAGAACTGGTAGTAAAAAAATTTGAATCCCACCACTGTCTTACTTGTTTCGCAAAGGCTCATAATGGGTCTTAATTATCAGCTTCCTTGGTCCTAATCTTGTCAGCCATGTGTAAATGATTTTATCCTGTTATCTATTGCCTCTAGCCTGCCTTTCTTAATGGATCAGTATTGTTTCCACTTTTCTCAATGAATGGTGTTAAAATCATGTCCTGTCCTTAATCCCATCACTTGGTGGTAAAGGTGTTTTGTTTGTGAATAGGCTGGCCCAGTCTTCCTTAATGGGCATAAAATCACCATCTCTAAAGATTTTGCTGGAGGCTGTTTTACTATGCAGGGACTGCTTTTTGCCTCTAAGATCATGTTTCTCCATTTCTCCTTTGATATAATATTCTGCCTCTTTTAATATTCTCCAACATATTTCATTCTTCTAGGAGAAGGGGTTTCCACAATTCCCTCCATTTGGGCTATACAGTAGTGGCCAAAAATTATGGAAACCTTTTGGGAAAAATGTATTTTTGAGGTTTGATGGCTAATAATACCATCTTTTTTTGGAGTTTCAATATGATCATATTCCAGTGCTGGAATGGCCTGGGAAGCCCAGACCTTAACCCAATTGAAAATCTATGGAGCTGACTAAAGAAACTTGTTGGTCAGAAGCGACCCAGCAATAAAACCCAATTAATAGAAGCAATCATTCAATCTTGGTTTCACATTATAACAGTTGCAGAACTAAAAGACTTGGTTCACTCCATGGGAAGACATTGTAAGGCCATAATTCATGCTAAAGGTTACCCAACTAAGCATTAACTGACATGATATTTTTTTGTATGTCTCATTTTTTCTATGGTGATAATTTTTATGTATCTCATTTTTTCTATGTGTTTCACTTTTCTTCTTTATACTATAACTGCTATTCTAATAGCAAATTCTTCATAAAAGTTATTGCATTACATTCTTGATTAAATTATCTTTCCATTGATATATAATTATATGGTACTACTCCAAAAAAAAGTGGCATTATTAGCTAGTTTAGAAAATACACTTTTCCCAAAAGGTTTCCACAATTTTGGCCACTAGTGTATATATTTACATATATTGCCCAACCTACACACTATCAGAATGGCCTCTGTACTTCCTGTATACCTGGCACATCATGAGGGATATTTGGCTGGCATCCTTACTTGGATGTCTGTGTCCCTTGTAATCCAAAAGGGAGCATCCTAAACTGGAAACAATGGGCAATTGAAAGCAGTTTTTCATTCGTCACCTTCCTTAATCCGGACTCTGTAATAAACCTCCCGTAAGTCTAGTTTAGTAAAAATCTTCCCCTTGGCCAGGTGGGCTAGCATGTCTTTCATGAGGAGTAGTGGGTAGACATTTTCCACACAAATGGCATTTTCATAGAGAAAGGTACTTTTACTGAGTATGAACTGAATGCAACCAAAGAAAAGCAAGGTCTGAGGCAATAGGCGCGAAAATCACATATAGAAAGCATCCCCAAAACTCTCCCCCCAAGGGTCCAGTCAGGATTATCCAATCCACATCCCCCCAAGGTGTCATGTGGGGCGCAGCTTCAGATTGCTCCATTCTTCTGGTATGCCAAGACGGTTGACCTTGACTGGTTATCAGCACGTCTTCCAGCTACAGAGAAAGCGCTGAGGAAAACTTTCTCCAATTCACTCCCTTTTACGACATCTCCACCAACTCGCTTCCTACTTCCCAAATACCGAAACAGCTCCCTCCTCCCCCCGTTACAATGGCAGCCGAAGCAAGCAAGCAATATAGAGGCAGAGGCTAACAGTCTGTTGAGATGGGAGGTGATTTTGTAGGCTATTGGGGCAAGGCAGTGGCCCCCAAAAGGAGAGCTTTCAACCCATGAAGGTCTAGCAGCTAGAAAAGAAATTTACAGTATCCAATTTTCTGTGCCAATTCTTTTTAGCTGTTTGATGTCACTTTCTGTGAGCTTTCAGTCAGGTTGAAGCAAGCACATGTCCCAAAATTCTTTGCAGCCATGATTGTGCCTTAGTAGATAATCAAATGCTGCCCATTTCCAAGGGTTCCTTCCTGAACCTGCCTTAGCTCTTAGTTTAGTACATCCAGGGT